CAGATTCAACACTTGCTTAGTTTTCTTTGTTTCTCTTTGTCATCAGGAAGTTTTGTATTGTTTTTGTAAGATTAGTTGTAACTTTTCCTCCTAGGACCCTGCGTCACAGATTTCTAATAATGCTTAGATATTGGATGCCAAGGTGGCTCCTATTTATTCCAATGGAGTTGCTGGCCCAGCAATATGCCAAAAATGTTTTCTAGCTTATGAGTTTACTTCCGCCGTATGTGGCCCACTGAATATGCACAGTAGCATTTCTCCCACTGGCCCTGCCTGCGAGTTCCTGCTCTCATCAAAGACTTGACATTTGATGATAGTCGATGGTAGTGGGGAAAATGCTTTCTGGGACGCAGGGGATATATATATATATATATATATATATATATATATATTTTCCCCCCTGTTTTTTTTTCTTCCCGCAATACCGCAAGTGGCCACTGGGAAAAATTTGCTGCAATGTTGAGTTGCTTTTGGGGGGGCTGCCCTACATTCTCATATGAGAACATTACATTGTGGGATTGCTACACCTTGCACTTAATTTTGCTTACCCAGACCTGTTGTCCTCATTCGTGGACACTTTTATGCACCATCTAGTGGTAGCAAGAGCACAATATACTAATCCATGTAAAAACAAGATGGCAGCCATCTCTGCCAAATCAGTGTAAAGCTAATCCAAGACAAGGTACAAAACCTGTTCAGATTTTATAGCTGAAACTTGTTTATTCATGCTTGATCAAATTTAAAGTTTGATATGGCATAGGCTTCAAATTTGACCAATCTGACCAACGGGCACAAGCTAAGACCCTGTTTTTTAGAAAGCACTCATTTGAGGACATTGGAACTTTACTATTGCGTTATTGCAGCAGTTCACAGTAAGGCCAGTTAGGTGTGACAGACTGTTACTACAGACAAAAAGGACATTCCTATCTCTGAGTATGGAGCAAGGAAAAGTTCTACAGAGTTACAAAATGTGATATTATGCTGATGTAAATGGCAACTAAGCAAAAATAAATCAACCAGGAACAGAGCTGATAGTCTATATTTTTGCAAATTGTCAAAGTCTTTAATTTTAAACATTCACATTGTAAAATATAGCAGGCCTATTTTTCATTTATTTATTTTCTCTATTCTTTATTTATGTCTTTGGTCTATGCACCAAAACACCAGAGCAAATTCCTTGTGTGTGAAAACCTACTTGGCCGTAAACCAAATTCAGATTCTGACAGTGAATGTGTTTAGGTACATTCAAAGCACTTCAAGGGCGTTTGCTGTCCACTCAGTCATGAGGCTGAGGTGAGAACCTCAGAAACCAGGTCCTTCCTTTAGGCTGCTTACGTTAGGGGAGCTCATAATTAAACAGTGACATAGTGAACCGTGTGTGTGTGTGTGTGTGTGTGTGTGGACTTATTTCCTCTTTCTGTGTCACATGCAGTCAGGAAATGTCCTCAGTATTCTGTTGGTCTTTTCTACACTATTTTGTCCCTTGTTTTTATTCATACTATTAACCTTTACATATTTTAAACATTTTATTGTTCCTGTTATTAATTATTAGTTGTGCAAAATTCTATTTATAATTGTCTTTTTTTAATCGTTGTTACGTTTTTGTCTGTACTATTTTAAACTTGCTCTGTGAAGCACTTTTGGCTGCATGGTTGTACGAAAGGTGCAGCATAAACAGCAACATTAAGCCTTATCATATTACTACATTACAACTATCATTTACTGCTACTACAGTTGAACATTCCTTGTCCTTTTCCTACTAAAACAGATGTTACTAGCTCTTCAACTATACTACCACCACTACTACTATTATTACCAGCTCTGTACTACAGCAATAATAGAATTAATTACTATTACCATGACAACTAATACTACTGTACTGCTATTAAACTACTAATACTTCTACTACTACTACTACTATTATACTGCTAACCCAAATACACTACTAAAAACATCACTGCCACTATTTTAGCACTACTACTCCAACTGCAAATACTACCACTCTACCTACTACTATTACTACTATGACCACTGCCACTAATAGTCCTACTATAACTTCTACTACTAGTACTACTGTAAGTGCTGCTGCCCCTATCACTCGTCACATACTCAGTGTGAGAATATGTTTGCTACTTTAGACTGCTATTCCACTACATCAGAGGCAAATATTGTACTTTTTAATTCACTTCATTTTTCTGATAGCTTTGGTTACTAGTTACCTGGCAGAGTTACATTGTTAACATGAGATATGAATCAACTACTTTAACTAAGTATGATATATTATTATTACAGGTTAAGCTACCCAGCAGTATATAAAGTAACCCTACTGGCACCGGATGTCAATGTGATGTCAGAAAGACACTGGACTCTAACAGCAGACAGACGGTAAATTTTGGTTTGAAAGAAAAGCAAGTCATGATATTTTTATATGTCTAATGATGTTAAATTTTACATTGTGTGGGTGTTAACACTATGATGTTTTCCAGACGTTTGGTTTTGCTCTCCATACCTTACAACTAGCGAATTTGGGAATCCTAGGATAGCAAAGGAATGGCCCAATCCCACTCCTCTTGCCTAAATCTAACCAATCTCACCAACGAAGGCAACGAGTACCATCCAGTCATGGGGAGAGTAGGGTGGGTCTTCCTTCACAAATTTGCTTAGGACTCAATGTTAATATTCTACGTTAAGATGATGGTGGCATGAGAAGTTTGGAAGAAGTTGGATTGTGATTACTTAACAACACAACTTAAAACCAACAAAATATCAACGTCTTGACATTGAATTGTGTTCACCTGATGTCACAACTGTGGAGAACGTCACAACCTAAATTCATCCAAATATCAATGTTGAATGATGTTGGTAGCCAGCTGGGAATGTAAAGTAGCCCCACTGTTATCAGCTGCGCCATTAAAGAGATGGACACATGAATGCACCACTGATTATAATCTCTTAATACACTACACATTAATCTAAAATGGGGTATAATGTATAATGAGTACTTTTAATTTTGATACTTTAAGTATTTGATGCTAATCCTTTGTACTTTTATGCAAGTAAGATTGTGAAAGCAGGACTTTTTCATGTGACAGAATATTTCTACACTGTAGTATTGGCACTTTACATAAAAGATCTGAATACCTCTGTTACCACTGCATACTACTACAACTACTATTAGTACAATACTTGCCAATATTACTGCTATATTAACTACTACATTACTGCAGCTGGGCCTACCTACACCATGACATATCAGTTTTACTGTTACGCCCACAATTACACTTCTGCTGCTATAAAGTGCCACTACTGCTAGTTTTACCGCCATTACTACAACTAGAATTCTGACTGCTGCCAGCACTACTACAGCCTCTAGGCTTTTTTACAGTTGAAGTGTGTCTCCATGCATACATGGCACAAGGAAGCCTATATACAGCCACTTTGTTACTTCAGTTAAATGTTTGTGATGTTGGTAGTTGAGATGCAGCCATGGTAAATGCGGTAATAACACGGGACCTAAATCACATGAACACAGACAGGGAGTAGGTCTGATCTGTGTGCGGTCCATCCGGTTTGGTAAAGGTTTCGTTTCTGGTGTAAAAAAATAACATGCGACCTTTCGCTCCGCTTTTAGGCAACGGGTTCCCTCCCTGCTGTCACATTACTTTCGTTTCCTGAGTATTGCTATCCGATGGCAAGTTTCAAAGAAGCAACACTGGCGCTTCCGGTTAGTGCTTTCAAAATAAAATTACCAACCTTCACCACTGAGAAATGAAGTAAACAGTGGCCTTTCTGCATATTCAAAATGGTTTCAAACAAATAAATTGGCATTAAATGTAATAAATAAAAAAATCTAATGTTATGATATTTGCAGGGAAGATTAATTATAATTAGGAAGTAACAAAATTCTATATTGATGGTGAATAAAAAACATCAATAAGATCACTTTTGTTTGCAATAATGTCACAAAATCTCCTGGAATTATTAGGAAAAAAATGTCCTTTATTACATCCATCTTGCATTTTAACATTATATTACAGTCTGATATATCCATACCTTACTGATTGTAACTTCTCCTCATTTCTTGAAATATAATTATTGTCTATTTATGATATTGACATTCTTCAAATATGTACTTTTATTTTCAAAACAAAGTATATGAAAACAGACTTACCAGAAAGTTTTTTATTATTATTATTTATTATTTTTATTTAACTAGACAAACAGATAACCTTTACCTACCAGTGTATGGGACATCCATATGTGTAGTTTATGCTCTCCTTTCGGTGAGGTCCTTAGAAAAGCCCACTGTGAGTTTCTACCTCACCTGCACATGTAAACTGTTTAATTTCACTTTTCCATGTTGTTTTTTCATCTAAATGTGCAGTGTTAAACTTGAAATCGCTATATCGCATCAGTGTGCCTCTTATGACTCATGATGACCAGTGAGGAATCTTAACACCACACGCTATTATAGTAATATTATAGATGATAGTAATTATAGTAATAGTTTGATCATTTTCATCAACCACCTCTGTTTATTATAGATTAACCTATTCTTATTTCAATACAATTCAAAGAATTATATTATACATTAATACATTATAAAAAAAAAATATTGTACATAGATCACTAAGGTAGCTTATGTATATATGCCACAAGTATAAGTGTTTCAACAAAGCTGAACACTTGTTTTATGTATATGTACTGGCACAATGTTATGCTATATTAATATTTTAGGGTTGTTTTTTAATATTAAGTATTCCATAATTTTTATTTTAGTTTATTTATTTATTCATTATACTTTATTTTTGGGGCATTTGGCTCTCCTCTTCACAACTGACTGTACCTAGTATTGGTGTTTTGTTTTGTTTTTTGTTTTTTTGACACTTAGGGTGACTTTTATTTTGTAAACATCCATTTCCGGTTATGTGCTGTGGCTGTGATAACTTGACGCTGCTGCTTGTTTATCAGTGAGGACGCTGCACAGTTGTTACATATCGAGTGAGAGTCAGGAGCAGTGCAGCAGCAGCAGAGAAGATACAGTCAGTCAGTCTGTCAGCACCTGTCATCATGAAGAGGGCTGTTGTGTTCGCTTTTATAGTCTGCTGTGCTGCTGTCTCAGGTAAGACACTGTATGTTTCGACCACCTGGACAAATTAAAAGCAAAAAGGTTCTGGAGATGTTTCTTTTTGGCTGTTTGGTGAGGTGCGGAGCCCAGAGAGTCCAGAGGTGATTTTATTTGTGTCTTGTGCGCGCGCCTTAGAAAACGAAACTTAAATAACTGGCTTTACTCATAGACTGACTAAAAGAGTTTTCTACAAGGCGGCTGTGAGTATCTAAAGCTGTTAGAGACGCATATAAATTCATATTTATAGTTACGTAGCGCGCACAGGAGAAGTAAGTTATTCCGACACGATAATAAACGAGTGCGCACAAGATAAAGAAAATCACCTCCGGGAACTTTAGGATCTCTAACTCTATGCATGGACCAGTTGAAATAATACTATTGTATTGCTTCACGTTACGTCAAAACTTGGTTGCTCAAAATGATATATGTAGCCTTTATGTTGAAGTATTGCTGTTATCAGATGTTTTCTTTGTTCGGTGTAGAAATGAGACATGAGATGTTTTCATGAGACCTCACTGTGACTTCCTGGATTGTTTAGGGAACAGAAATTTCCGCAGTCTTTCGATGGTGTTACAGGTCTGAGTCACATGTCTGCTCGCACAAGAGGGCTGGTTTATTTAGAGGACAGGATGAATGTGCAACTTGGTGAAGCCCAAACTCCAGTTGATGTTAGGGACTGTTTGTTACTCATGAGGTGTGGGGCAACACGGGGGAGGCATGTTAAATATGTTTTGAAGCACTGTGGAGGGATTTATGGTTTTTTTTTTTATTTTGGCATAAGGGGAGGACATACAACTTTATATAGTTTTAAATAATTGTATTTTTTTAATAAATACCACCTGAACACCAAAACTCACCAGCTGGTTTGAAAGGCAAGTTTAAAAAAATACCAAAGTCCCACCAGTTATCATAGCCAGAAACTGTAAAAACTTGTGTGATAATGATGTGATTTGTAAGGAGAGTTTGCATTTTGCTTAAGAAATTAGCTTTATTTTGGTTATAACTTTCAGTCCTGTGCTGTTTGCTTTTTTAATTTGCCCCAATGCCTTAATTTGGTGTAAATATAGGAGAACAAGTGGTTAGGGCCTATTTGAGGTTGAGGAAGGGTCATGCATTTTTAACCCAGTCACACAGGGAAGGTCAAGGAAAAAATATTTGTAGCCTCAGGGGGGGTCACGTTAAAGATAACAATAATAAAAAGAAATGTACAAAATAAGATACAATTTTTTGATAATTGAAAAATGTTAAATGTAATGCTAAATTAAAATGTAGCATATTTTATGCCACCCAAGCAATTTTTTTGTTTTGTTTTTTTGTTTGTTTTTGGATGTAGGCTACAGTTAAATATTATATTTAACCAAGAGTGTGGGGTTAGGGTCTAAGTCAAGTTAATCACTCTAAAATAGATATTAAATCACATGGTCTAGAATTTTGTTTTTAAAGGAATATTATTAATTTGTGTTCACTTTGGTGGTAGGGTGGTAGTTTACTTAATGCTCACCACTAACTGGAGGTCAGTCTGGCTCAATCTGAACACAGGCAGTAATATGTAAGCAGTAATCTAACACTTTTTAAAGCCAAACATCTGTGTATAAAGCCCAGTCCCCTGTTCAATCTGAATCCTAGTATGGGGCATTTATAAAGCCACTGCCTGAACCTGCAGATAAGCTGTGTACTGAAACCTCATCACAGTGTCATAAATGTGCTGCAGACTTGTGTACTTAAATGTGGCAACACCAGTTGACGTTATTCAATGTCAGTCTGCTGATTTTACTATGTTTGTTTAAAGGAACAAGCCACTCATAGTCCAAAGATCAGCTGTATCAGTATACAAATCAGCTGCACTAAAAAGTATTTTTCATATTAGCAGTAGATTAAATAACTGTGTGAAGCATCCATGTTTCCACATACATAGATGTAAAGTATACGTGCACCTTGACTGGTGTGCGAAGGCAGACAGCTGCGAGGCGGTAATTCTAGTTTAGCCTGTTTCAGCTCGTCTTGGTTTGAAAGACAGACTGAAAATTAGGCTATCATCAGCAACATTTCCAGCAGCAGGCAGCTGTTTTCAGTGGATTAAATCAACCCATTTTCCACTACCTGCCCAGCATCAAAAACATCTAGCAGCTAAAGATGCAAGTATTTCATCTGAAGAGTTGGTGTAGACCAAAACAAAGCTAAAAGGAGTAAATTGGACATACATTCAGCGAGGGCAGGACTCCAAATGAGTGGTAATTTTGCTTTGAGCCTGCTAGATGTGTAAATAGGAAATTACTTGCTAACCTGTCAGCAACTTTTTTAACCACAAAAATATGTTAGATGTTGTGTTTTTTAGCTTGTTCCCCCGAAGTGATGTATGCATGAACATTGAAAATGATTTGTCTCTCCCTCTCTATCTTTTTGACTAAAGCACTGTCATTGGCGGAAGATGAAAAGAATTCCAAACCTTCTGCAACCGAGTCGTCTGCAGAAGAGTTTAGCGCCGAGCCTACAACCACACCTAAGCCAAAACCCAAGACAACCACCAAACCTACCCCACCTCCAAAGACAACCACTAAACCTACCCCACCTCCCAAGACAACCACCAAACCTACCCCACCTCCAAAGACAACCACTAAACCTACCCCACCTCTCAAGACAACCACCAAACCTACCCCGCCCGCCAAGACAACCACCAAACCTGCCCCACCCCCCAAGACAACCACCAAACCTGCCCCGCACCCCAACACAACCACCAAAGCTCCCCCCAAGCCAACCCCAAAACCAACGTCCAAACCAACCCCCAAGCCAACCGCCAAACCTACCCCACCCCCACCTCCTCCTCAACCTACTCCTTCTACCAACTTGACTGTCGGAAACTACACCGTGATGGGAGACAAAAAAGAGATTTGCCTGAGGGCTGAGATGGCACTACAGATCCGACTGGCGACACCAAAGGTACATTTCATCATTAACAATAGATGCAACAAGAGGCCCAGCAAAGTTAGTTCAAAGGTCTAGCTATTTTACCGAACAGGCTGAAAACATCAACTTGCATTTTGGGTTTTATTAAACCATTTAGGAATTTGTCAAAATGGATAGAACATTCTGCACGAGCCTCTGACTCAGCTTTCAGCAATGCAACTGTCAGCATCCTAGTTTCAGGAATTGAGAAAATTATTTCATTGCAACTTTTTATTTCCTCATTGTGGTGCAATTAATTGACTGTGAAAGGTTAGACGACGTATTTTCTTTTTATCATATGACAATTGCTAATTCTACATGACAAAGCAATATTAGTTTTCTACAGAAACACTGTTGGTACCTTCTGGAACATTGGGATACAAGGTGGCCATCCCATTGCCTGATTTCTCTCTGTTTATCTTTCAGGCCAATGGAACTTTCATTGTTCAACCAAAGGCTACCAAAGCAGAAGGAGGCTGTCAGGATACCAAGGCCAACCTTACTCTTGTCTTCAAAGAGGGCTTCATCACCTTCATGTTCAACAAGGTACTTTCCATGTCCTAGATTTGTCACAAATATGGCAGTAATGTTTACAGCTGCTGATAGGGGAGGTCAGTACCTTATCTTTGACCTGCTCACACTGATTTGGCAGTTAGCACTGAGCAATTAAATTGTTACATTAACACAATTAACCCATTTAGTTTTTTGATGAATAACAAGTTGTTTGACTGATCACTTCATACAGGAACTGGAATCAGAGAAGACTTGTTAAAAAAAAGGGAAGTTTAGTCGACAAGCCTGCTCTAAGAGCATGTGACAGGGAGTGCCTCACACTGCCTCACTTCACAGCGCTTGTGTGATTCATTTAGTGGTTTTCTAAATGAGGGAAAATGGTAAAAAAAAAAAAAAAAAAAAAAAAACATCCATTACATTTTCTCAGAGTCCAAAGTGGCATCTTCACATATTTCTAATGCAGTTTACCATGATATAAAATCAGAGAAAAGTAGAAAAGTAGCACAATGGAAGGGCAGGAACTAGTGATTTTGGCCTTTTTGCTTGAAAAATGACTGAACCAATTAATCAGTTATCAAAATACTTTCTGATTAATTTTCTATCAATAAACTAATCGATTTAAATCAATTGCTTCAACTCTAATGTGCTCATATAATTTGAATCATTTCAAAGCCTTTATCAAAGCGATTTAGGTTTAGCTCTAAACAGTTGTAAGTAATAACATTTTTAATTTATTTTATAGCATTCAAAGAACTACAAGTTTTACCAATGCACCAATTGTGTAATACCTCATTCTCAGCATTGATTTAGCTTGGACTTATGGGAAATGGTGTTCATTGAAGGACACTAAAATAGTTATTTTTAAATCTAAAAAAGATACAGGACATTCGCATCGTGTCTAATCACGCCTTTACATTGACTTTACATGTAATTCTCTCGCGCAAATGGTTTTATTCACAACTGGTGTGAACAGATGTCTGAAATAAGGTTTGTGGTAAACGCAAGCTTAAGAGACTTTCTCGTTTTGTGCTGCGACATAAAATGCGTCAGTAAATACTTTTTTTTTTTTTTTTTCCCCCACAATTTTTAGGCGTTTATGTGTCTTAAAAAAGGTAATTGCTAACAATTGGCTAATTGAGACTACAGAATGCCATCATGCCGAACACGGATTTACAGTTTTGTTGTGGTGGCAATGCTGAAGTCATGCAACCGCAGTATAGTTCATGTATAGCCTAATGTTAGCTTTTACTTTTGGCAATTGCATTTGGGCTTCAAAAATCATAACAGTGGTGTTCATTTGTGAAGATTATCTTGCTGAACCAAACATATAAGTAGCATAAAGCTTTGCTTATCACAGAGCTTATTTTCCACAATTACCAAAAAATCTAATTGGCCTTTTGTCAAGTGAGCCAGGGTGACACTAACCTCTGCATTGGCCTACAAAAAAAACTTTATCCCCACAGCACTCGTTTTGTTTTGCCATGTAGGTAGCAACTAAGTAAGTAATGAATGCATAGGGTTAATAACAAAACAGTGATGTTTAGTTGAGCCAGCCAGACAAGTTCTGTCTCTTGGCTACAGCTCTGCAACCTCAAAGTGTAGCAGTACAGGTGCTGAAACAACAGTTTCCTCTCTGTGTGTGCTGTAAAACAATTTCTATTTGTTTTGTAAAGGAATCCAGCAAATTTTCCACCACAATTAACACTCAATAAAAGACAGTAGAGCCTTCCTGCCAGTATTCTCAAAGAATCATCTTGTTTGTTCATGAATATTAAAATCAATATTTCACATTTAATAACAGTAAGGATGTAATGCTCCATGTGAATACCCATTGCCACTGGATATCAGCTTTGGTTGAAATGTGTCTTGTTTTCTTTCCACAGAGCAATGCTAATAATACTGTCTACGTTGATTCAATGAGTTTCTCCCTCTCCTATCCCTTAAGCAAAGAACGTAAGTTGGGAATACTCACATTTTATTCCAGTCTCTACAGATAATTTATGGTCATTCTATCGTTTAAACTTTAAACTAATTGGGTCACTGCTTGTGCACTGATAGCTACAGGTGGGGGTTGTGTAAGACTGGCAAATATTAACAAAGACGATAGGCATTCGAAAGCCAACAACTTCCTTGTTTGTGTGTTTGTTCAACTCGATTAAAGACATAATCTGTGGCATTACCGTTCAGCATGTGATGCCGGTAACAACCAACCTACTTTCAGTGCAATGCAGTCTAACAAGTTTGGTTCCATATCTGATCACTTGTTATCATGAGCATTGTCATGATGTCCTGAAAGAACCTGAGCATGACTTTGCTTCACTGTTGCAGGCAAACTCCCGTTCACTGCCACCAACAAGTCATTGCATCTTTTTGCTGCAAAGATCGGGCACTGCTACTCCTGCAAGAGTGACTCACTCTACATGGGGGATGGACTGTACCTGGATGTCAATCAAGACAGGATGCAGGCCTTCAACCTGACCAAGAGCAACGACTTTGGCCTCCGTAAGTGTCTTCATCAAGCTAAATGAGTCGAGGGGCCTTTTTTGTTCAGTTGAAGCTTCTTACCTGTCCATGAATCTGTCTATTAAATGCATCGTTAGATCCATTAACGTAAGTAAGAAGTACTCCTTATACAATGTTCTGCAGTATTGCAATGTAAAAGTACTCGATTAAAAGTAAACATACAAGTACCTCTTAAATGTGCTGTGGAGTACAGCACTTGAACAAAGGTATTTAGTTACTTTCACTAATGAATATCTGGAATTTTAATCACATGGCTGTCAGTTGGGTAAGATTGTTGTGCATGTACATTTAAGCAGTGTTTAAGACACTCTGTGGCATTTATCAACAGCTACCTGCAGGCCAGGAATAGTTTAACTGCACTCTAATTCAGGGATGGCCAAACCTTTTTGAATGAGGGCCAGATTAGATAATATGAAAATACCTGGGGGCCAGCTGCTTCTTGCATCACATGAGTTATTTAAAAAAAAATACAAACAAATAAGACAAACGTTTCATCTTTCAGCGAAAAAGTATTAAACTTTCCACCGCTCCTGAATGTGAGGGCCCTTGCTGTCAACTTTATGCTTCTATGCTGTGGCCCTGTCTGCTAGCAAGCAATCAGCAGGAAATATCTGCTGATTGCTTGTTTGCCATCTATTCACGAAAACACATTTGTTTCATCTTCATCTAGTTTATACTTGGTGCATGTCTACAGTTGGACCCCAGGCCATCCTTCCTCCTCAACGGCAATGCAGAGGAATGTCTGCACCTCATTTATTGTCCACAGAACAGGGTTGCATGCTAACATTTCTGGAGCTAAAAAGAACAGGCTGGAGAGAGAGAGTCTCTCTTCATAGGATATTTGAAAATATTGGTTTGTGCATTAAGTCCTTGTCAGGCAAGAGCAGGGGTGTAGTGCTGCCGAAGTGCACCAGAACAATGCTCAGTTATGTTTCCTTTCCAAATACAGATTAGAATATATGCTGTTGAGTTGATTTACATATACATCTTTTAAGCGCTTAAAAATCCAGTCATCGCTTAAGAGTGTGTCATCCTAGAGAGACAATTACAAAAAACAAAATTTTTGAAGCTGTCATATTTAAGGTGTGTTGATGGATTCACATTGTTAACTTGTGCATTGAGTAATACTATAAGTAAACATTCCACCTTAAAAGCTGCCGGTACCTCCTGGCGTTAGCCTTTGAACAGCAGGGTAAAATAGATTTTTTTTTACAGCTGCTGCTCGAGGCAGCAAAACTTCATTTCATTTTATATTTATAGTTTTCTAATGTATGTAAAATTTGCCACGGTATGAACAGAGGTTACATAAGCTTCAAAACCAGCCACAGCTCACCCCTTAGCGTGAGTGACAGCTCTCAAATGACCAATCAATGGACCGCAGTGTTTCTAGCTCCACCTTTTAGTACTGGATCAGTGTGCTACGTACAACAGGGTGGTGACAGTTTTATTGGTGCCACTCACAACTCTTTACAGTGGAAACTGAAAAATAGCCATTCTAATGTGTGCCAAGCTGAACTGAACTGAACTGAACCGGACTGCTTGGTGGAAACGAGGCTTAAATTCACCAGCAGCCTCTCTCTGGTGGGATATTTACATCAGTACGCAAAAAAAATGCCTTGCGCGAATTTTAGCTGTGAGCTTTTTTGTGTGTAAATATTTTCTCAGTAATATTTGGCGGCTGTAAGAAAATTGTAGAATTATTCATTTCTGATTTTCTGAATTGTCAGCTTGCTAACAAATGTCACAGCTCGCACAGGTAGCGCTTGATAGGCTAGCATCTAATTAATCCTGACTGCTGTAAAGGGTATATTGCTCAAAGCATGTAGTTGTAAAATAATTTATGGGATTAATTATTGGAGCAGTAGCCTATAAAGCAATCACAACAGATATGTATCTTTGTTTTGCACACATGTTTATAGCCTTCACACTCTTCTTGCCCATGCATGTGGCTGACTGACTTTATGAGCACACAAATGGACTCTGAGATGTATTAAATCATTTCATAATATTTGCAGTCATACATTTCCATACAGAGCAAAGAAACCTCTGCCTGGCAAAATGGCACGTTTATAAATGGAGCTAATGAGTGATAACTTCATTGATATACTGATATTTGTACTTCTTAATATTTACTGCGTATTTATTGAGTATTTGAAGTTTAGTTTATATGTATTAATTATATTAGATGGAGGCAATATGTTGTTACATAGGGTTTAGTAAGTAGATGTCTGGGACTGAGTGGAAGTTTTGGTTCTAAATAGTATGTCTAATATCCGTGTGTGTGTGTGTGTGTGTGTGTGTGTGTGTGTGTGTTTTCCAGCTGACCCTTGTCCTGCTGACAGGCCTGACTACCGCGTTGCCATTGCGGTGGGAGTGACGCTGCTGGTGCTGATCGTTGTTGTGGTGATAGCCTACCTACTGGGGCGCAGAAGGAGGGCCGATGGCTACCAGTCTCTGTGAGCGACGCCGAGCAGACTTCCATCAGAGGTCACACAGAGGTCACTCCCATTATAAAGCAAAGTCAGTGAGGCTGTGATCTTTCTCGGGGGCTAAAGGGCACTTCAACTAAAGCCAATGTGCCATATTTCTGTTCTTTAATGCCTTGGTTTACCTACAGTACTGTTAATAACAATGTATTAATTAGACGTCCCAAGTATGAAGGCCTTAGAGTGACACTGGGAAAGTTTAATTAATAATTCACTAATTAAAAAAAATCAATCAATAAATTGATCATTTAAAATGCTGTTGTAAGTCAATTAATCAAAATTTTAAATATGCCAATTATGGAGTCACAAAATACATTTTTAAATGGCATTTAGACATATCTTTTTATTACACCATTTACTTTTGTGTCTGTCATATTTCCTTTCACTTTTCATCATCTTCCCTCTTAAAGATTTAGATTTGTGATCAATTTTGAACACTTACACCTTCATTGTGTTAAGTGTGTCACCTACTGGTTAGATCTAAAGTCCAAGCCATGGAGCAGCAGATGGAGCCCTTATTGGCCAACCATGTGTTGACCAGCTGGAGCTCTATCAGTCGCTCTGTTGGTTGGACTTTTGACCTAACTTTTAGGTCATGATGGCCAAAATGTAACCTCATGAACCATTTTCTTTATTTTCTGAGCCCACTAGGTGGTGCTCCTGGTTTAAAGAAAAAGGCTCAAGGAGTGGCATTTTAGTGTACTTTCAACTGTTTGTTAAATAGAAAGTGCCATTTGGTGGGCTCAGAAAATTAAGAAAATGGTTCATTAAGCTTCATTTGGCCATCACTACATTTAGACGACACACTGCTTAAACATCTTTAAGTTGAATTTTTAAAAAAATTAAATGTTGAAAGTTTAGATTTAAACACAAAATGATACTGTAAAGGTGATAGCAGGGAACAAATGAATGGTGTGATGGAATGTGGTCTGCAGACATGTAAGCAAATGGAATAACAAAAAGTGAAATTTTTAAAACTTAACAATTTATTTTGTACTTTCATGTTGAAAATCAATTGTTAATTCATTTTTTAAAAAAAGAGAACAAGGATAAAGAATCTGTCAAATGTAATTACATATATATTTAGATTGAGTTTAATGATTTAAATTGAATTAATCCATTTATTATTCCAGTGGCACACTTTGGATTCCATACATATGGGTTTTGAATGTCAACATTGTAGATTGTGGATTTAACATTCCAATAGCCACTATCCTGATCATTATAATTTTCTCATATGTGAGAACGACATAAAGTTTGACCCCTGAGTTATATTCTCATCAGGGTGGACAAGCCTCTGAAATAACATCTCTACATTGGGACACTGAAAATGATGATGCTAATATTGAAATATCTATACAGACTGACATCTTCATAAATACTGAAAGCAAAAACTGACCAAAATGTCTCATTAGAATCAGTCAAGGTTATTTTTTCTCCCATAGACAGCTGGTGTATTAGTGATCAGCGCTGTGATAATGATGTCATTTTATATTCGGCTTTTATCAAGAGGCACATTGGCTCCTTTTATCAGTCTAACCCCACGTTATACTCAAACTGAGCAGTGGAATCGGGAAGTAAGATTTTATCGTGTGTTCCATTTAAATTATATTTAGCTTGTCTCAGCAAAAACGCGATAAAGTACGTTATTTTTCTTCATTGTTTTAAGACTTGTAAATGTTTTATTATTCCTTGTTTGTTTTTTTTAAGAATCATCCAGGGTTTTAATTTTTAAAAAGAAGGGAAGTTATCCAATCATTAATGTTACAGGTGATTATACTGTGTGTTAGCATTATTAATAAGCATAAAGGGAAAATTAGAGGGTTGTTTTTGAGGGATTATTAAAACCTAGTCAACAATAATTGCACTGATTGCTGTCCCAACTTGGTTGCCTTTGCCTTTTTTATACAATGTGTAGCTGATACTGTGTTTCATTAAAATGCAGGGTGGACCATACATGTGGGTTACTAAGGGACTGTTTGTTATTTATGAGAGGGAAAGGGGTGATGCAAAACAGGGGAGGGCCTTCAAATAATTTTTTAAGCATTTTGGGAGGAGTTATGGTTTTAAATTTGGCTCAGGGTAAGGACATTCAAATTTAAATGGTTGCAATTTGTTTGCATCCATTCACGTTAGGGAGGCTCAAGGAAAAATATTTGTAACTCTGGGAAAAATAAAAAATGAAGGCACACCCCAGCCACCCCCGACTCTGATAAATAAAGTACAGTTCCCAACAAGTCTAGTCTGATCCTGATTAGATCTTAAAGGGTTTACACATTCATTACATCTCAGCAGTCTATTTCTACTCCCTCGCCAAGTCTACTCTCATACACTGTACTGCATTAAAGGGATAGTTAAGATTTTTTGATGTGGGGTTGTTATGGGGTACTTATCCATAGAGAGTATATTACATGCAGTAGATGTCAGTCAGCACGCCCCCAGTTTGGAGAAGCAGGCTGGAGTCTGACATGGAAGCTCAGCAATGTACTGCTCTGGAGGGGTCAGAGACAAGCCACCTAAGAAAAGTCAGACCTTAAAAAAAAGTCAAAATCAGTTTAAGTGTACACTGTATTTAGAATATTTTCACTGCTTTACCTTAATGTCAGACAGTGATGCCTAACTGGAAAATGAAGCCAGTATATCACTCTCTTCAAAGCCGGACTCCATTTAGATAAACAGTGATTTAACATTGCTGAACACAGGAGCTGCTGGTCTACCACTGCCTCGATCAGTTGGTTTGTGTTATTGTGTGATTTTGGCACCTGAAAGGGTTAGTTCAGAGTCACACAATAACACAAACGAATTAACTGATCGGCGCAGCGGTGAACCAGCAGCTCCCGTGTTCAGCGAGCAAAAATTACTGGTTTTGTCAATGGAGTCTGGCAGGTTTGACGAGAGCATAGTTGGGAAACAGAATCTATTAATGGCTTCCACGTTGGAGTGGGCTGTCTAATGGAAAGGTAAAGCCATGAAAATACTCTTAATGTGGCGTACACTTAAACTCATATTGATTTTTTTAGGTGGCTAAAGTACATTTTGTTGCTGACCCATCCACAGCAGTACATTGCTTAGCTTCCATGTTGGACACCTGCTGCTTCTCCAAACTGGGGATGTGCCGACTGACATCTACTGTATGTAATACACTGATTATGGATAAGTACCTCAGACAACCCCACTTCAAAAAATCCAAAGTATCCCTTCTAACAAAGAAATATTATGCTGTTGAGAAAACAATCCTGCCACACCGTGAACCCTGTGCTGAGCTTGTTTTCCCAACTGCTGTTTCCAAGTCAAGAGCGAACTTTGAACCTCAAATATTATGCTGCATTTAGGTGCCTATCGGAAATGGCAGAATTGCAATTTGAGTACACAAGTGAAAGAAACAAAATATTTTTCCAATCCTCAAATCCTAGCTTCATGTTAAAGGGTCAGTTCATACACATTACAAAGACACATATTGTTTCCTGTACCTCTAGTGGGATCTAGTCATGCAGGTCAGTTTTGTGTGCTCAGGTTTTGATATATTTTCTTCTAAAACTTCTGCTGCCACTTTAATACAATGAAAGTGATCAGAATTCTTCTCACAGCATTAAAAAACGACATCTGAAAACTGAATAGTGACTTGTATTTCCAGATTCCATGTCCATGTCACCCCGTATAATCTGTATATGTAGCTGTCAGCAGTTTTCATTGGGACTGTCCCATTAGTAAAAAAAAAAAAAAAAGTTCCAGTGAACGCTGTTTGCAGTACTGTCTATAGATTACACAGGGTGACCAGGACATTGTGTCTGGAAAAACAAGATGCTGGTGAGTTTTTCAAATATCATTTATCAATGCTGTGCACCTCCATTGTTTTTAAGGTGGAAGCAGATATCTCAGAGGCAGATATCTCTGTGTGAACTGAACCTTTAACTCAGTGTGTTTGTGTTGACAAAATGGAAAGTGGCATGGCGAGTAGGTGGAGTGGAATGTGGAATACCTGAGTGTGATGTTGGTGACTCCAGTCTGTCCCTGTGTGAATGTCCCTCAGTGAGTGTCAGCTTCTTCAGTAGTTTGACAATAGAACAGTTAAACGTGATGAAGGAGACCTGTTGCTCACAGCTGCACTTCTAGATTTTGTCCATCAGGAGATGCTCTGATGTTATGAAGGGAACAAATATGAGGGACTTCACTGTATGTAGAGTTATCCACTGTGTGAGCACTTTTACCTGTTGTTAACGTCCTGTGCCAATAAAGACTGATATATTTCTAAATGTGTGTGTGCGTATGCGTGTTTAATCTTCAGCCTCCTCAGCAGATGTGTGAAATGTCTTTATTAGTCAATCACTAAATACTTCACTCAAATAATAGATTTGAGTTTTGAAATAATTAGAACTGAGTTAAATGTATTTTATATATTTCCAGGGGCATCATTTTGTTTTCAGAAGTGATAAAGTTTAGAATAATATTGGTTATTGTGCTTCCTATGATTGTAGTGATATAATAAAACATAGACTATGTATTTTAAAGGAATAGTTCACCTACAAGGTGACCATTTATAAATCAATAAGTCATGACGTGTTAACTTGAATAACCAAAGACGAAAGCGAAAATACATGTGTTCGTGAAGTACTGAGCATACGACTGTATAAATGAGACTAAAATTACACTGCACAAGTTGTGTGTGAGTTTGTTAACAGATGTTTTGATATAGTGTTGCTGCTGTTAAATGTGGTCCCCATTTAATCAATAATTCAATATGTTCACCATTTTCCGTAAAGGAATGTGAGAAAAACAAAGTTTTCTTTGCAGAGTCAAGGTAACACAGCATGACTAATTTATTTACAAATGATCATTTTGTGGGTAAAGTGTTCCTTTAAGCAAACCCTTTGTATTGTTAACACACTAACCCTAGAATCATTTCTACTTTACTTTTTTATTAACCTTTTTTTACGCTTAATAAGCACAGAAACAAAAGAAAAAGAAAAGCACTACACGGGCAAAAAAACACAAATATGAGGTCATGGGATGTTTACAAAGTCATGACAGATATATATGGTACATACAATAATCACGTAGAATCTGTCTCATTGGCTAAATAGATACACTCCACCATTTTTCTTCCAGTTCCTTTTTAAGTCGTATGGAGTAAATCATCTGTTCCAGAAGATGTGTTTAACAGTATTAACAAAAAGCCTAGCAGTGGGACAGTTTTTATTTACTTAGTCTGTCAGGAATATGTAAAAGATATAGGGAAGTGAACATTGTACTAATACTAAAACCCAAAGTTTTTGAAATGATTGTTGCAACTTCCTTCCAGAAAGTCTGGATAGAAGGACAAGACTAAAAAACATGGGCATGGTCAACCATGATTTCTCCACATTCCCTCCAGCAGTACAGCTGGGTGCCAGTTTGTTTACACTTCTGTTTGGGCATGATGAAAAAGCAAATCAGGTTTTTCCAGCACAACTTTCTCCAGGTCCGGGAGTTAGTGGCAGTCAGCTGTGTTTCTCAGGCATTCAGCCACATGTCCTTAGTGATTTTAATCTCCAGCTCTTTTTTTTTCATCATTGTGCCACATAGTCTGTAGTGTAGTGTCCATGCTGCTTTTTACTGTTTACTAAACTATTTTCTGGTCTGTCTGTGACACACCAGTAAAATAAAACACACACACACACACACACACACACACACACAAAGCATTACCTGTTGGTTGGCATGAAATGTGTCAAAATTACGTTCCAGCAAAACAAAAACAAAGCCAATGCAAAGCTTATTACAAACAGTCACAGTTTGGTTAGGTTTAACAAAAAATACTTGATAAGGTTTAGCCAAAATTGTAGTTTTTGTTAAAAAAAAACTATGTCCAGGACATAATTGACGTGAACATACGTAATACAAAGTACAAAAGTCACATTACTACGTTGGTTTCACACAGGAAACACAGAGTCCACAGTTCCCAACTGCCCTACATGGACTTTCTTCCTCTTTAATCGTAATTCATGTGACTTTGCATTAGCATTGTTTTTGGGTTGCCAGCATCTGATTTTAAAACATTTTGTGCCCACCACCAGTACCAGGCTGAACATTTTAACACAAGAGTTGGCTATTTGGTAACTGAATGGTGCTTTTTTTTACGCGCTTTTTATACAACTGAAGCTCATAGACTCCTTTATTACCTCTGCCAAGGAGGTTATGTTTTCAGTTCAGTTTGTCTGTTTGCCAGCAGGATCTTGTAAAACCACTGGCCTGATTTTTATGAATCTTGGCAGAAGGGAGCAGTATGGGCTGGAGAAGAAACCATTCAATTTTGAGTAGATCCACATCATGGATTGAATACACAAATTATTTCCCACTTTTGTTAAAATTGTGAGATAGGTCATTTGGCCTTGCCAGAATAAATGCCATACATCTTAAGATCCAGTAGATGGTAGTAATGATGACAAAACATAGGCAGTTGTAGAAATGTGATGACTCCATATCACAATAAATTTTCACAGGTACCAGTAATCATCTGGGTCATCTACACATCATCTACACATGGAGCTCCTCAGACTGTCAGAACTGTCACAATTTAAACACTGTGTGTAAATATTAATTTATAAAATTGTGACACCGACACAAAGGTGAGGGGGGAGACATGCACAGGATTGTTAGAGGGATTTAAATTAGAATAGCCTTTTTATATACTCTCAATGTGTCTTGCAGCTGCAGCTAATGGCAGTACAGACCATCAGACAATCAGAGAAAGTACAAAACTGGGAACAAACATCATTTCACCAACTCTTCAATAATAGACTGGATACATTCATAGTAAAACACAAATTACTCTCTGACAGTCAGTATGGTTTCAGACCAAACAGGTCAACATCACTAGCAATAAC